GTGTATTCAAGCGACCTGAGTTTAAGCTGGGTACATAGAGTGTAACCCAAGTTCACGTGAACTGGAGCAAGAGTGACTATAGCAGAACTGAAGGACCTTTGCTCTTTTATGGTGCCAATATCCCTTAGACCATGCCAGGAAACCTAGTGTAAATAACAGCAACTGGAAATGAGAGGATCCAGAAAAGGGTAATGCTGGAGGCAGTTATCAGTTACAGAGAGGAGTCCCGAAGGAACTGGGAATCGGGGAAAGAGAAGTTTAAACTCCGGAGTTCTTGCTTTACCCATTGCATAAGACAAAGTCTGAGTCCATCCACCACATGGGCATAACATGATTAGTTTAAAAAAATAGAGAAAAGGCCTCGTTTAAAAATTAGGGGAAGCAACACCTAATCCAAGTCTGCTAACTTCTAAACCTCATACTCGTCTCATTAAAATATGGGCTTCAATTAGCATGGGCTAATCTCTAATATTCAATGAAAAATACTAACCACAGGCTAGTTATGAAGTCTTCACTGTTCCTCAGCCCTAAAGGGGAGAACTAAACTGTCAGAAGGAGAAGGACTTAGAATATATAGGGGTTGGCTGGGATTGGGAAGGAAGAGTCAGAAAACATGAGGAACAGAAGTAGCTCTAAAGGACGGGCAGGCTTAAACAGTGTCAACTGAGTTGGTAATTCTATCTTGTGTAATTCTTTCCTCAGTAGAGCTGCGCTAGGTGCACTCAGTGTTACCTGCTTTCTTTCGGACTGCCAGGCGAGGACCGGAGGGACGCGCAGACCCATACACTTAACTTGGGGGCAGAATGGGGATCTGGGCAGCCTGTTTAGAGACAGGGAGTATCCAAAGAAGGGAAGGGGAAAAGGAAAAAATATTGGAGAAAAACTTTCCAGGGTGTGGCACCATGAAGGTGGCTACCAACTGAAGAAGTCAAGGTAAAGATGGTGAGGGGTGCCAGTTGGGAGTTTGTAAGGTATCAGAAGGCACCTGCAGGAAAGTGGCAAGCACTCACCGAATATGTAACAGATAGGAACACAAACCATCGGTTTTAGCTCCACTGATGCTCCCAAATCGGACGAGAGCAGAGCACAGTTTGACCCAGAGGGTCTCGAAAGCAAACACAGATCGGGGCACTGGAAGTCAAAGAGCAACCTGAGAAGTAAACAACAGTGTGCCTGAAGTCCACACTGAACACCAGTAGAGAGTTCCTGACTCCCAGTCCAAGTTAATGTTTTTCCTTACCTGGGGTACCATGAAATGATTCATGACTACAGATGCTGGCAGCAAAAGCCCCCTGCTGCTTCTCCAGCTGCTGCAGCCTCTAATCCAAATTTCTTAGCCCTGCTTCTGGTCAAAGTCTCATCTCCTGATCCTAACAAAAGCTCCTATCAAGACACTTCATTCATTGCTATACCAGCATCTTGCTTTCTGTCGAGTGCCTTTTTATTTTGCTAGCTAACTGTTTTGGTTCGGGTTCAAGGTTTGACACAGCTCTTAAGACTCTAGACTTGGAGTCTGGAGATGCAGCTCATTTGGTATAGAAGCTGCCGGGCATGCAGCATACACAAGGCCCTGGATCCCACCCCAGGAGTGCACAAAAGCATTGTGGCGAACGCCTGTTTTTTCCAACACTTAGGAGGTGAAAGCAGGAAAGTCAAAAGTCCAGGAAACCCTTGACCACATAGCAACTTGTGACTGTTTCAAACAACAACAACACTGGAACCAGGGATGTGAATAGTGCAGCCCTTTTTGTACTCCACTGTTGTTATAAGGGCACAGTACCAACACGATGGGCGGTCTTATGCTGGCAGCTGGGTTTCTAAGGAGCTCTTCTGTGATGAGACGTTGGGCTAGCCCATATTGAGTAATTTTTGAGTGACAGAAAGGTGTGTCTCTTCTATTCTCCACCTTCATATGTCTCCTGTCATCTCCCTAGTCAAAACCTCAAGAGAAGGCTCACAGGATGCATTGTTCAAACCTCAAAAGAGTTCTCTAATTATCATCTTTAGTGAACAGTAAATTCAGCTTCCTAATCATCTTCTCCACTTTGTCTTTTATATCCATTCAACTCTGGCTGCTTAATCCCCTTTCCTCTGGGTACTTATTTTGTTCTCAACATTTGACACTGTTGAGTGATAATCAACACTCTCTCTTCCTGTAGCTCTTATTGGAATGCAGGCTCACTCTGCGCATCCTCAAGTGAGCCTTTCTTTCAGCTACCTGGTTCTTCTAAAGTTCAGCTCATACCCTTTGATAAGGGATTCCTAAATTTATATCTCAAATCCTGTGCACTCAAACCAAGAGTTCCATTTACATATCCCTGGTAGGACATTAAAGCTAGGGTGGCTCCCATGGAACTCTGGCTTCCCTTCAGAGCTGCCTTTGACATCTTCCTTCACCTACCTCTGCCATCTGCTGTTCCTCGAGTGTAACTTTCTTCTCCCACTGCATTTCTAGATTCTCAGTGAAAACATCGTTCTGGAGTTGTTTGAACTAGTGAAAACGGGACGTGAATGCTGTCGTCTCTGCTTTCAAGTTGTCCTGTGTGTCTCTGTGTGTTCTTGTGTGAATGGGCACACATCTGTGGGGGTCAAAAGAGAACCTCAGGTGCCACCCATTTTAATTTTATTTTTTATTTTTTTTACTAAAAATTTCCACCTCCTCCCCTCCTCCCCTCCTCCCATTTCCCTCCCCCCATTTCCCTCCCCCTCCCCCCGCTCCTCTCCCCACCCCCACTTCTCTCCCCAGCCCTCTCCAGTACAAAGAGCAGTCAGGGTTCCCTGCCCTGTGGGAAGTCCAAGGTCCTCCCCCCTCCATCCAGGTCTAGGAAGGTGAGCATCCAAACAGACTAGGCTCCCACAAAGCCAGTACATGCAGTAGAATCAAAACCCAGTGCCATTGTCCTTGGCTATTCAGCAGCCCTCATTGTCCACCATATTCAGAGAATCCAGATTTATCCCAAGCTTTTTCAGTCCCAGTCCACCTGGCCTTGGTGAGCTCCCAATAGGGTCAGGGTGTTGATTTACTTCTTAAAGGCTTTGTCTCCGAATAACTTTGTTGTTAATGTTGTTGTATGTTTAACTCAGTGACAAACTATGTAGTCTGTTTGGATCTGAAATGCTCAATTTTCCTGCCTCAGACTCCCAAGTACTGGTATTATAAGCATGCACCATCACAGCTAATTTTTAATATTTTTTTGAATTTGGGATTAAGGTTCATCATAATTTCAGAAGGAACACAAATCTGTAAACTATAGCACAGCTGTTCAGAGCCAAATCCTTGGAGGTATTATCTTTCCCTTGTTTCATATGTGACACAGCTAATTTAACAAACACTTCCTTTGCAATGGGTTCCAAATCTATTTTTCAACTTGCATCTGGCCCCAGCCTTGGGATTTTTAGCTGGATTATTGTCACAGCATGTTAGCTGGCCTCTATGTTTTGGCCCTAGTTTTCACAGAATCTCTTCTCTGCACAGAATCTTTTAGACTCTGTAGTCTAAAATGATGTCAGTATTTTGAATAAAACATGAAAATGGTCCCCATATCTAAATACAAGCTGAAGGCTTAATCATGGCCTGTGAGGATATAAATAGGAGTTCAGCCCAGTACCTCTCAACTGCGCCTTCCATTATTCTTTTTTTTTTCTCTTTCTTTGCTCATATTGGATTCCTTGCCATTTCTCCTAAGGCCTTTCCATTTGCTATTTCTTCCTGACTAGGATGCTTTCTTCCCTCTGATATGCACATACTTATTGACTTACCTCTGTCAGATCTCTAACCAAATGCCCCTGTATCAGAGAATCCTTATCTAAGTACCTTATATAAAATAAAGCCATTCCTGATTCGCTAACATTCTCTACTTTGGCCTCTTTTGCCAAAGTAATCAATGCCATTTGATAAGATAGAGGTATATCTGTCATCTCTTACTAATTTTTCTTTCTGTTAAGTCATGCTTGGTTTGCAGTCATTAATAGCTTGCAGTAATTAGTAAGTACTTACTGAATTAATGAATGAATTTTCAGAGCTGCCACAGATTTTGACACCATTAGTATTAGTGGTTCGTTATAGTGGTTCTCTTTAAAGCAAATTGGACCAGGCTGTCCTACCAATGAATATAGGACAGTCAAAATTCAGAAAGGGCCCCTCACGGGAGTAAGAAATCCAGGGAAGGGATGAGAAAAGTTAGAAGAAAATGTTAGTTTCATAAAGTATTTTCCATAAGAGATAATAAATACCCTTTTTTCTTTTGGAAAGTCAGTTACATAACTCTTGTGGTTTGTCTATTTAATGCACTACCCAAGTGATCAGGAAAGTGCTTGGCACATAGCAAATGCTTGATACTAGCTGAACAAGTGATGAGAGTAAACTTTCCTAAATTTAAAGTTAGTGTCGATTAGAGGGCAGCATAAAGACTCAAAAACACAGAGAAGAGGGTGATAGTGGTGTCCCATCAGAAGATGTGAACTGGTACGCATGTACATAAACTTCAAGTCCCCGAAAGAAAAGACCACTAAATACAATTCATTATAGTAAATTTCTCCTGTCCTGCTTTACTCTCAAGTTTACAATTTAGTTCTTACATATTTATCTTCTACTTACTTACTGAAAGGTGATGTTCTTCCCATAGTAATTGGGAGAGTGAGAAGGTTTACTCCATTCCCTCACCTTAGAGACATAGAGACAGCCCCCAGAATACTACTGCCAGAGGCTTCTGATGATGTGACCAGTGATGACTGCTATAAAAGTCATAAAGCCACAGTGACATCACCTCTCCTTCAAAGCTAGCCGCGGGAAGCTTGGGGCACAGCTTCACCCTAGACCTCTACCAACTTGCTGCTCAGAGAAAACAAGAAGTAAAGGAGACTTTTAATCTTCTGTTGCTCTTAGCTGATCAGGCATCTGGAAGCAACTGTCCACAAACCTCCTGTGAGGGCCAACCTTTGCAAACTCTGCATTCACCTTATAGAGGCAGCATACTTCAGTTATGCAGTGCACAGAGGACATGAGCCAAGACTTCTGGCAAGACTGCCTCCAATTGTTCCTACAAGCGGAGATATGCAGTGATGCAGCAGTTGTCACCAACCGTCCACCCTGGCTATTAGCTTCTTGCCCCGAAGGCAACTTTATCCAGATGACCCAGGAAGAAGTTCAGACCTTACTGGCAAAAGACCAGCGAGAAAAGCTGTTTCTCCAGGAAGTCACCCTTGCTGGGATCAAATGCCTGCTAATCCGAGACAACCTGTTCACCGAGGGTAACAACAGCATGGACCTGCGTACCAAAGATCAAAGCAGAAGTAGCCAGGCTGTGACAGTAGTTCAGATGGGATCTGTGTACCTTGTGGTGATGGGGAAAAGGGGGACCGAAGGAGGACCTCTCAATCTCAAAGCTTTTGAGATAGCAGGCTACATGAGAGAGGCCATTCTTAAACGAATTTCCCGCTGCTAAGTAAATAAAATGACCTTGTGTTTCACCTGCAATTTGAATTCAGTTCTGTTTCACCTACTAAATTAACTTATTCTTGAGGAATGAAGAAGATGCCATACCTAAGTTTAAGGCATGTAAATGTCTTTGGGGATGGAGAGAGGGGCGTACCTTGAAAAGTTTCTTTAGACCAGTGATTCTCAACCTTCCTAATGCCATGACACTTTGGTATAGTTCTTTATACTGTGGTGACCTCCAGCCATAAAATTATTTTTATTGCTACCTCATAGCTATAATTTTGCTTCTGCTATGAATCATAATGTAAATATCATTTGACCCCTCCAAAAGGTTTGTGACCCATAGGTTGAGAACCACTTATTTAGGCCATCAGGCTTCTAGGCCTTTTCTTTATGACTTTATTTGCATTTTTTACATCGAAAATACGATCTTTCCTTTCTCAGCTCCTGGTGGAGAGTAGTGGGCTGGGAAGCAGAAAATCTTGAACCTAGCTCTAATTTTTCTTTCTTTTTTTTAAAAATATTTATTTATTATGTATGCAATATTCTGTCTGTGTGTATGTCTGCAGGCCAGAAGAGGGCACCAGACCTCATTACAGATCGTTGTGAGCCACCATGTGGTTGCCAGGAATTGAACTCAGAACCTTTAGAAAAGCAGGCAATGCTCTTAACCACTGAGCCATCTCTCCAGCCCTTACTGAGCTTTCTTTTTTGGAATTTCAGTCTCCTTATCTATACAATGGCAAAAACACTAAGCTTCTTAAGGGGTCCTTCAAGATCCGTAGACAGAATTTTATAACAACAGCAACAGCACAAAGACCACAAACACACACACAATTTCAAGAACAGTCTAAGCATCACCTCGTCAAAGGAAAGGTGCTCTCTCTGGTCACCTTAACTATTTGAACTGGCCTTGGTTGAAATAGAGCACAGCTGCCTGGGTCACTTCTCTGCCCTTAATCATACCCCAGCCAACATTTATTGGATGACTTTTTGATGGTCTTTTCTACTTTTGGCATGCACATTAATTTTATTTCCGAGCTTAGCAATAATTTCCTTGATGACAATGTCTTTAATTCTCCATTGTCTTCTTGGGATCCCAGTATGGGAATCTATCAGAGTACTGTTCTCAGATATAAAATCACTAAAAAAGCAGCCTTTCCTCTCATGAGAAGAAAACTGAGGCTCTGAAGATAAATGGCCTTGCCAATTAGTTGCAAACAAAAATATTGGAAGACAGTCTTGGGTATCCAGATTCCTATCAACAAGAAACTTAATTGGACCTTCAGCTGACTGAGCCCCAAGGACAATAGGCTGGGAGTGAGAAGGAAGCCCAGGTGTGTGGGGGGAGAGAGGGATCAGGATGCATTTAGTAGAAATCTTATCTTGTGAGCTGGAGAAACACTAACTGCTAGATCAGGCCAGGCCGCAGTGTGTTGTTACAATATGTTTACTCAGAAATCTCAATGTGACTGGTATAAATATACTTGAACTGAAGTGTAGAGAAATCCACAGGGCTCATGTATTTCCTGAAGACATCAGGGAAAGGCATTGATAGAAGTTCTAGGACCAGAACAGGGAAGTTGGGTTATACTTGGTCATACATCTTTTCCCAATCCACCTTGTGAGCTCCTGATTTTTTATATGGTCTTGGTGACACTCTTGTCATCTAGGAAGCTAATCTCGGGTTGATGAGCCAGCTCAGAGGGTAGATGTGCTTGCTCACAGTCCTAACTACTTGAGTTCAGTCTCCATATCCCATAAGGTGACAGAACAGAACTAACTCCTTAGAGTTATTCTCTGACCTTCACACATGTGCCATGGCACCTATATATCTGTTTTCACATTATTTTGTTTTCACATGGCACCTATATATCTGTACACACACACACACACACACACACACAAATAAATAAATAAATATCTCAAAAGAAGCTACTCTTAATCTTTTTTTGATATGACCCATATTTCCTCTCTTATACCCAGAAGGTTAGCCACATTGAACTCAGTGTTTTCATGATATACTCTATAGCTTATCCTATGGTATTCTCAGGAATGATAAATTATGTCTCCTCAACTGGCTAACAACCTTTAACCTGTATCCTACCCATTTTTTTCTAGTCCTGGCCACCAAGCCATATGCCTTGAAAGATATTCCCTCTTCCCCATATTTGGAGAAGTTTTGTTAGGCCCTGGATTCACCTGCCTTGGTTCTAGATACCTTTCTCATAATATTTAATACTTTCAGCTTTTAGTACTTAAAAGTCCTTTCTTTTATAGCCTGAAAGTTTCCCAATTCTTCTTTAACAGTAAATCTCACTTCAACATGTTTTTATCATAGACAAAACAAATGATACACAACTAACTAGATGATTAAAATGAATGGCAGGCACAACAAATGATTGATTCAAGGATATTTCAGTCAAAATTCTTTCTTGGTTTCAAGAGTTCTTACCCTATGTAAAAGTCATCCTATTAAGACTTTTGAATGCCATATTGCCTAAACAACATATTCTACTATTATTTCTACCATGTGATGGAGGAGGGTCATCTGTCTATCTATTGCTTTCATTGGTTAATAATAAAGAGACTGCTTAGCCGGGCGGTGGTGGCGCATGCCTTTAATCCCAGCACTCGGGAGGCAGAGGCAGGCGGATCTCTGTGAGTTCGAGACCAGCCTGGTCTACAAGAGCTAGTTCCAGGACAGGCTCCAAAACCACAGAGAAACCCTGTCTCGAAAAAAGCAAAAAAAAAAAAAAAAAAAGAGAGAGAGACTGCTTGGCCTGATAGGGCAGAAAATTAGGTGGGTGAGTAGACAGAACAGAATGCTGGGAAGAAGGCAATGAGGCAGAAGCCTCAGGCAGACACTATAGCTCTCCTCTCCAAGATGGACGCAGGTTAAGATCCTTCCCGGTAAGCCACCACCTCATGGTGCTACACAGATTACTAAATATGGGTTAAAGCAAGATGTTAGAATTAGCCAATAAGAGGCTGAAACTAATGGGCCAGGCAGTGTTTAAAAGAATACAGTTTGTGTGTTGTTATTTCGGGTATAAAGCTAGCCGTGCAGGAGCTGGGCGGGAACGCAGTCTGCCGGTCCATCTACAACCATGCCTAATTTTATTTAATAGTAGTTTTACTGCCTTACATTTCCTGTATTGGCTTACTTGTTTACTGTCAGTGTCCTATAAAATAATGTAAGTGGCATGAAAATATGAATGTTTGACTGTTACAGTAGCTGCTTTAATTCCAGTGACTAGTAAGATGCCTAGCACATAACAGGGAATAAAATGTATTGATTGAAAGCATGAGTGAATGAATGAACATACAATTACAAGCGCCTACTATGATGCGAGGCTATTAGGTTAGGTTGAGATGGAAGGGAAGGTAAACAGAGTTTCTCTTCTGGCATGAGAAAGGGAGGGCCTCATGAATCCACCTACACAAAAAGACACAATATGGCAGATGCTTTAGAAAGAATCAAATGATGTTTTGTTGAAGTACAAAGGGGAAAGAGGTTAATACAAAATGTCATCTCTCCAAATGTTCTGTTACTCATTGCCTTCCTCTTGTTGTGGCTCTCATCTTTGCTTTTCTTTTGAGATCAGTAGACACTGACCCCACTGACTGGATATGAGGTAAAATATTTCTTATGGTACCTGCTATCGCTAGGAGATATAGTCTTTGCCTGTTGGTCCTAATCTGATCCCATTTTGTGGTTTCAGATCCGTCTTCTTGTTACTCCTTTATTCATATAACTTAAACAGGTCAAGGTATTACTTGGACCCTCCTTTACCATACCTATTTTTTGTACCAGGGAAATATCCAGAGAACCTTTGCACACAAGGTCACCTACTACATCATCCAGGAGGAGGACCAACACTTGCTTCAACTGTAGTATTCTTCAGATAAAAAATAGACAGAGGCCAGCACGACTATTCAGGGAAAGGTCAAATGAAGCAAAAGATAGGCCTCACTTGTACAGTGGTGGCCCATGCCTATAATCCCAGCACTCAGGAGGCAGAGGCAGGTGAGTTCAAAGCCAGCTTGGTCTACAAGAGCTCATTCCAGAACAGGCTCCAAAGCTACAGAGAAACCCTGTCTCAAAAAGCTAAAGGAAAAAGAAAGATAGGCCTCATTGATTTAAAATGGCCAGTGTACCTATATGAATTTACAATTGAGGTTCAAGAAAACTTTTCTTTTCTTTTTTTTTTTTTTCGAGACAGGGTTTCTCTGTAGCTTTTTGGTTCCTGTCCTGGAACTAGCTCTGTATACCAGACTGGCCTTGAACTCACAGAGATCCGCCTGCCTCTGCCTCCCGAGTGCTGGGATTAAAGGCATGCGCCACCACCGCCCGGCAAGAAAACTTTTCTTGACTCATTAGATGAGCAAGAATACAGGTTCAATGATGAATAAATGTGTGAACAGCCCTCTCTTTGGAGTTTCAGATGTGCTCTTATCTTGAAATCTCCTGTTCCAAAAGGATGTGCATTATGTGGACACTCGGCAGAAAGCAGACAAAATGACATTACTTCAAAGGGAAATTGCCACACTGGACTGTCAGCTGGGCACCTATAACCCTGATAATTTCACTATTCTCATCTTAAAGGACACCAGATGGAAAAACGGAAGAGTAGGCTGGAATACTGTTGAGGCCCAGAGCAAAAGACTGTGTTGTCCTTTGAAAGGGTTTCTATAACTTATAAAGCCATGTCTTCTTACCCATTTCTTACCAAGTCTATTTATTCTATGAAGAAATAAATAGCAGTGCCCCCAATCCCGCTACAACCATAAGCTTGTTTCTAGACACGGCAGGAACCACAGCCCAGGTTCTCGAGGTCTTTTATTGCTATATATGTAAAGACATAATATGGGATCAGTAGCTTGGAAGCTAGAAAGTTTGATCCTCTTATATTTTAAGAAAAGAACAGTACCCCATTTTGCTACCAGAACTTTGCTTCTTAAAACAACAATTATTGTATTGTAGTGCACAATGGGAAAAAAATT